TCTATTCAACATGATCATATCAAACACATCAAAATTGACTACAATTTTGTTCGTGAACGGGTTTCTCATGGAGATCTCATAGTCAAATATATTCCCACTTAATTTGAATATGTTGACATATTTATGAAAAAATTGTCTAGCTAGCGTTTCGATTTTTTACGTTTCAATTTGTGCATCGCTTCTCCTGCACAGATTGAGGTAGTGTAATAATGTATAGTCAAAGGATTATTTTGTGATTTTAATATACTTCGGTTCATGGGCGGAGTCAGGGCACTGGTAGCAATAATTTTTTTGGAAAAAAATTTACACGAATTTTTTACCTTAAATTAATGACATTTTTTAAATTTGGGGTGAGTCAGAGCCTAGGTTGCCCCCGGCCCATGTTTGGGTTATTATAAACATAAGGCTAATGCTCCCTATATGGTAAGCCATCATTCATAAAATATTACATTTGTAATATGGTATTAGAGTTAATTAAACTCCAATAAGCATTTATATCCTCATAAGCCTCAAAAACAAGAACATACTACTTATATTACAAGATTGGTTTGCTCCAATGAATCTCCATCTTGCGGGAGCGTATTAACATGTCTCACACCGATTGCGTATAGAAACACAAATCAACATATAAAGTCTTGGACTATTTGTCCCATTAGATTGATCTTTTGAGAAACTCTGTATTTTTTCCATTTTCAATCCAATTTTTCACGTCATAATAGAGTTCTAAAATATCGTAGTTCAAAGTCCGAAATAAGAGAGAACTTGTCGAGTTGACCTGTGCTGCTCTTGCTCGACTTCTAGAGAAAATGAAAATCATTCCTCTTCATAAATGATCATCTATATATTTTAAAATGATACTAACCCTGTCATTAATTGGCATTTACACTGCTATTGATTTTCAGATATTACCAATAGCAATGAAAAAAGAAAAATAGTATAAGTACCCCATTTTGGGATATCTCATTTCTACACCCCTAATGTGTGGCTCAAACGAGACAATTCATTTAAGTGAGGCAAATCATTTAAGTGTTGACAAAAAGGTTTCATTTTGCAATTTTGTACGAGTTGGTACTTCGTACACAAGTTTGTTTAAAAAGAACTTACACTATGTTTATAAAAAAGATCTTTAGGTTTACTAAAGATTAGAGCATCTTCAATGGTACAATGTGCACGGTGCACACGTGGCATGAGAGATGACCACATAAATATTAGTAAATAAATTATTTCTCTCCTTATTTGAATGATTTTATACAGTTTTGGTAAGTTATTCTCCACAATGTCAAAGAGACCGTCTAATGTTGACATTGTTATTGACATTGCAGGGAAAAACTTACTAAAATTATATAAAATCATTCAAATAAGGAGAGAAATAATTTATTTGCTAATAATTATGTGACTATCACTCATGACACATGTGCACCGTGGACATTATAGCATTGAAGATGCTCTTATTATTATTCAACTTTTTTTAAATGAAATTACCATTATATGCGTTTTTTGTGTTGGCCGGTCTCATCTTGCAATCTCAAGCAATATCATTAAGAAAATTAGACTTTCTTGACAAGATGCCCAATTTTCTTTCGGAGTACAAACATAATTACATAAACAACATGCAAAACAGATTTCGTAATGGAGTTCAATTTATGAAAGCTTCTTCTTGGACCAACTCTAGTTAATTCATAACTAGAAGATAAATTCATGTCAAGTTGAAAATTAATTCATTGAGTTGATCCCAATATAATTTACTGGGAGGACAAACTCCCACAACAGATGGTGGAGAGTTCTGATTTCATGCTTATTACTCTATGAAAATGTGTTTAATTATCCTATATACACGTACCTTTTTTTATCAAACGATCACAAAAAGGGTTTTTTTGAACTTCAATTGACAGATATATTAATTCACCAAATCATGTGCCAACAGGCTTACAATAGAATCAGGAATATTATCATACCAACAGAACTGATCCGAGATAGACACGTGTGATCTTTCTAAAGCATGGACAACACGATTTGCGGATCGTTTACAATATTAGACACTAAAATTACTCTTATCTTGCAGCAAATGCCTAATATCATCCAGAATAAGGAAAAGGTAAGAAGAACACCTTCATTTTTAAGGCCTGGACCACCGAGAGAGCATCAGTTTCCACCTCTACATGCGACCAGCCTGCAGCAACAGCTCCCATCAACGCATCCTGAACACCCATAGCTTCTGTTTCCACCACTGACCAGCTAGTTGCTTCGGAGACCCCCTTCGCCTGCAAGAAATTGCCAGAATGGTCCCGTGCCACCCATCCCCAGGCCCTAGTATGTGTACTTTCATCCACCGCCCCATCCACATTAATTTTTACAACACCCTCTCACGGACGCTTCCAAAATGTCAAGGAATTAATTTCTCTCCTAGCCCGATCTGTACTCTCAGAGCCTTGCGCATCTCTCCATCCCGAGATAATTCATGCCGCTGAGTCGATAACACCCACCGCTCCTTGCCATTTGTCCTTCCAGACACATCCATTTCTCCTCTTCCACAGACTCCATAAAATAGCTATAAACCTGCATCGGTCTTCCCCATTCGGTCCACCGAGATGTCGCCAGAACCACGCATTTACCGACTTTGCCGGATTGCCCAGATCCACCCCCACCTTTCTCCAGACCTCTTTTGCTCTTTCACAAATCCGAAAAGCATGATCCGTATCCTCCACCACTCCGCCACACTTTACACCCTTCTAGAACCTGCACACCTTTTTTCCTCAAATTATCAACTGTAGGAAGAGAACCATCAATAGCCTGCCAGGAAAAATATTTTAGTTTCGGTGGGATATGCAAATCCAATCACAAAAAGCGTTATAAAACAGGCTTTGTGATTAAGTTAGGTTACCAAATATTTTTTTCATGAACCAACTCTAGTCTAATCAGTTATCCAATCATCACTTTGAACGACTAGAGTTAGGGGTGTACATCAGTTCAAAACTAGACCGGATCGAATCGGACCAGAACCTTGGAGCTGATAATGTAAAAAATAGAAACCGAAAACCAGACCAGGTATATTACGTTTTTAGCTGGAACCGAATCAGAAAAACTGGTTTCTAAATTATTATTTTGTAAATATGGAGTATTTAATACGGAGTATTAATAATGTTTTTTTGCTAGACTTTGTAGTCTCTCTTTATAATATATGTTCAATAATTCATTGTTAAATGCCAACATCCTTGACTGGATGCGTTTCAAACTTGTGACCTCCTCCTTGGGAGTGTCACAGTGATGCCATCGAACCACAAGGTGCTTGGCATTAATAATGTTAATACTCTTACTATTTTGGGAAACTAATAATCCAACCTTTTAGCGGTCTTCTTACAATAATCCAACCTTTGCACCTCATCTTCATTCACTGGTCCCTGACCGGTTGATGACCTGCTATTCCAAGTTATTTTCTTATCTTTGCAAATCATTTTACCATAAATCTCATCTTTCACAAAGATAATATTTTGCAAAGATAAGAAAATAACTTGGAATAGTAGGTCATTAACAGACCAGAGACCAATGAATGAAGATGAGGTGCAAAGGTTGCATTATTCATTAATAATCAAAAGGTGGGATTATTGAAAGAAGACCGTTAAAAGGTTGGATTATTAGTTTCCATTTTCCCTACTATTTTTATCTACTTACTTATTTTTATTAGTTTTAAATAGGCATGACAATGGGGCGGGGCATGTACTGAGACATCCGGACCTGCCCCGTGACTTCACTGGGTGAACCAGCCCCACCACGTGACCTGCATGAGTTCAAACTTGTTGACCCATGACCCGCCCCATGCGGGGCGGGGCTGTCCTGACCCGACCCACCGTAAACTAATTAGATAGTATACATTTCTAGTTGTGTGAAATCGTTACCAGTTGAATCTACATAAAGTTTAACTCCAAATAATTATAAAAAAAGTAATATATTAAATCAAAATCACAATATGCTAAAAATTTCAAAATTTAAGAAACAATTACTTAGACTTGAATAGTTAATCTATTCATATTAATAATTGAATATATAAAATGTTATATGTAAAAAATACATTGATAATTCGACGTTCATCTCATTCAAATATAAATATTAATATACGATAAGACAAAAGAGTTTATGATTTATTATATATATAGATATACATATGTATATGTTTATAATATATGCAGTGTTTTTTTAAAGTATGCATACTTATATATCTAGTGGGCCAAGGCGGGACGGGTCATGACGACATGAGTCAATACTAATTATAATAATGGACCCGTCCCATTGTGTGCGCGGGGAGGGGCAGGCTCGTCCCATTTGCAAGTTGGGGAGGGCCGGACCTTCCCCAAATGTCTCGGGCCAGTGCAGGTCTTTTTACATGCCTAGTTTTAAAGAGCAAATATTTGAATGATTTAAGTGTAGAATAATAAATGTTAATTATTTCTATTATTAAGACAATGAGAAAAAATGGGTGAATATATCATAAAATAATACTATCGTATATCTTATAGCCATTTTTATTTAGATTGTTATTATTACTATTTTTATTTGTATTACTTCACAACTATTTTATATTAAAGTAGTAATTAATACGATAAGATATTTCAAAATATAATAAAACCGATGTAATCCGGTTTTTAATCGGAACCAGTCCGGAAACCAGAATTGTATTTTTTCATAACTGAAACTAGACCGGAAAACATTCAGGTTCAGTCCGGTTCTGAGTTTTCCGGCCCGGTCTGGTTTTCCAGCTTGAACCGGTTTGTGTGCACCCCTAACTGGAGTTACCTGAACCATTGTATTGAAAACAAGGACAAACTTCATGAAGATGACTAGATGAGTGGTTTTTTTGTGGCTTTATTTATTTATTTATTTATTTGTGCACATAGTACACACTGTACTATTTGTCTGTTTCACTAATATTTTTTTTTAAGACAACATTGTCCAATAGTCACTCTGAACGGCTTGAGTTGCTTGAACTATTGTATTGAAACAAGGACAAGCTTTATGAAGATGAGTGGTTTTATTTATTTATTGATTGGTAACATTCTTACAAAGAAATGATGTTGTTTGTGGCCTTACCCACGAACAACAAACTGATCTTGAAATGCTAATAGCTGCAAAGGAAAATGGACATAATAAACAAACCCTAAGGACTCCAGACTTCCATTAGTCAGATTTACACACCCAAAAAAAACTACAGCTCATCATCATATTTGGGCTTTCAATTCTAGAATGCAATGCAGTCCTGATTAAATAGACTGGGATGTTCATCATAAAACTGAGGTGATTATTGTCTGGCGATCGGCCTCATCTCTCTCTGCTACACCAAATACACCAGCTTTCCCCAAATAGTTTCTGTAATGTAATTCTTGAACTGGGGTCCACCAACTTGCGTTGTGTACAAAAGCTTGAAACACCACCCAGCTTCTTATATCCATTTACAACTCCATGGAAAAAATGATCTACTTACAATCACCAATAATCCAACTCAGCACCAAGAAATGAGAATTTTCTTGTCAACATCCAGGTTCCTGTTTAAGCTGGATCCCTCTTGATGAGCCAAACATCATAGACTGGAAATCCGTGATCACAAATATTAAATATATGTAATGGAATTCAATCTCCAGTTATGAAGCAAAGAAGTTAACCATAGCAAAACAACAGTTCAAACAATTTCTTAATACTAAGTGTCCACAGGGTACGAATAAACTTTGGTTACCAGCACCCAATACTAACTAGTGTTCCTGCACCGGCTGAAATAGCTAATAAGTAATAAGACTAATAATAGTAGTACTGTAGTAGTAGTAGTGTAATAATCAGTTCAAAACTTGACACTTTTAGCTTTACTTTTAAGATAGTTTTCTTTGATTTAAGCAAGTAAATAAATACTCTCAAATTTTTATCATAAATAACTAAAGTAGATAAAAAAAATCCCTTGGCCGACCCCAAAGGGCTTGGATGTTGTTAGATAAAAAAATCCGTCTTAACAACTCGAATTATGAAAAGATCTTGCTAGGCTTATTCATTTTCCTAATTTCTTCTGTCATGCATTTAGAAACAATATAGAAGGCTATTGACTGAAATGATGAAAATTGATCCCCTAATATCACTTATAGGAAGATACAATTTACCTGAGTTGGATTTAGCAAAACACTACTGGCAAGTTCTTCGTCAAGAAACACAGGAAGTGGTGGCATGTGGCTCATAACCCCAGGCATATTTCCCATTCTACACAAATACAAATAATTGGTTCACTACACAGGTTCAACTCACATCAGATTCATAGACAACAGAAATTGGAAAGGACAAAAAGCCATACTCATTCAGGATTGCAGTGATGTTGTTTTTTGTACGAAAGAAGAGATCGATGTTATCCTGCAACTGCTCAATTGCGTGTGGTTATCAGCAACAATTTTATAAGATAACCAAGCTATTCCACGACATACATGGTAATTAATTATTTCATTAGAAGGTTACAAGTCAATGTCCACAAGTACTTTAGACGTTGCCATGGGTAATCGTTTTAATGAAAAGCAGCACATAGCAACAGTATTTTCATTGACTCGCACTGAGGTACTGAACATAATTAATACTTTGTATTTGAAGGTTTTAAGGCCAGGAAAAACATTCACCGATATAACTATATGGGCAACACAATGAAACATCATCATCACTACCACCTTAATCCCAACTATATTTGGATAGGTGATATAAAATCTATAGTGCCAATTAACTGTCTAAACTAGTAAAGAACTAAAGCATAAAAATTCATGCAAAAAAGACTGGAGATTTTTTTTATACAAGAAATGCCCATCATGTCCCAAATTTCTTACGAAGGAATAATGATATGAAAACATAGCCTGAACCCAAACGCAAAATACAAAACTTAATGTTTGGATTTTCTCATGCACCTATATAGACAAAATATAAGTAAGCCCAGCAAAAGCTGAAGATAGAACTTGAGGTGGGTATGCTGAGTAGGAGCTTAAAGCTTGGTTTTGCATACGTTGTATACTCATGCTATACACAGACAAACCTCTTTGTATAGACCCTCCTTGGTGTGGTTCTAATCAAATTGTGTTTAAATTATTTAAAAAGAGCTTGAGGTGGGTAAATAGATTGAAAGGCTCCCACATTATCATGTCCACATGTTGGGATTGTTAATAAAAGGAAAGAGCATCCAGACAATGATGGCTATCCCTCATCAAACCTGTGTACTACCTTCGTCCCTTTTTATTTAGCCATCTTTGATAAACTTTGATCCATTATTATAACTAATATATTTATATGAAACTTAATAAATTTATACTCTTATGATAGTATTTTTAACAAAGATCATTTTCATATAATTTTTATATTATCAATATTACCGTGTATAAATATATAATTGGTCAAAGTTGAACAACTTTGACTTGAAAAAGGTGTTTGGCTAATTAAAAAGGGACGGAGGAAGTACTATTTAAACTTGCATGTGTGTGCGCTAAATTTTCCTACCTCCGTCCCACTATGTTTGGACAAAGGGGTGTGACACAACTTTAATGAAAAAGTGGAATTGTGTGGTTAATATTGAATTGATAAAGTGTAAATAAAGTAAGAATGAATTGTAACCACCCAAATATTACCAAATATGGTATGGGTCAAACTGAATGGGACAGACGAAAAAGGTAAAACGGGACAAAGTTAGGGGGACGAAGGGAGTACTATATACTTGGTATAAACTTTTTTATTTTCCATGTATAACGAGTGTAAAAGAACCCGGAAGTAAAAAAAAGTAAAAAGATTGCACATATGAAGAAACTGAATAATAAAGATTGAAAACGTTCCAGTCAAAAGCTTTGAAATAGATTCCATTTAAAACCCACTGTTGATGCACAATAACCACCAGATCTATACCATTGTTTCTGTACAGTTTCACCCAGATCTAAAGCTTAACTTATTGAGCCAACGTGCTTCTTTCACTATCTATGTTTCTGTATGAAAATTGTTTCGATATTCTACTCAGTAAATGTGTGAATCACTTAATGATGTTACCTTATAGGTTGACAGGTTCGTTGAAATTTGATCAAGAGCCTGATTATTTTCTTCCAAAAGATTCCTTGTTCCTAGTAATGCTGCATAGTGACCATGAAAAGAAAATAATTTTGTACAAGTCAATGAGAGAAATTGGATTAAACTACAGCAGGAACTAGTCTTAGGAACACATAGCACATGAACCACGGTTATAAGGAATGCAAACTGAAAATCATATAGTCTAGCCACAGACATATGTACAACTGCCAAAATATAATTGACAAATTAAGGAATATTAAAGTTCATGTGAGAATACCATAAAAGCAGCATCATGGATATCAAGTGGGATTTGAAGAATACGCGATTATGATTAGAACCAGAGAATAAAAATGAAATATGCACTAGATGACTTCTTAATATATAAGAATGTTGTGAATAAGTATTTCTAAATTCTAATAAGTAAGTAGACAGACACGGGCCACTAGAAAGAAGGAACTAACAAGGGGATCAGCAATCCAAACAAATGGCAGACAGGGGAAACTTCGAAGCATGTTGAGCATTAAAATATTTTCCTATCAAATTTTTGTTACAAATTTATGTTTATTCAAAGCAAATGTGCTGATAAAGCACACAGAAGAAGAAGAAAATATATCCCACTACCTCCAGGATTCATGCAGTTACTGCGGTCACGATCACCTACAGCTAGAGAATATGTACCCAAGCTTGACGGGGAAGCTGAAGTTTTACCATTCTTCAAGGATGATTCAGCTGCTTTTTCCTGGACATGGAGAAGCATGACTTTTTATTATGCCCGTTCATTAATAATTGATGTCAATCGACAGACGACAGCTCATGGCATTAAAAAATCACGAGACCAACAAGGTTTCTTGATTAGAGAACTCTCATATATTAGGAAAAAACACAGAGGAGCCACTTGGAGGAAAAAATTCAAACACTATGTGTACCGAGAAGGCGAAAACCAAACCGGGAATGGGAGGATCAAACCAGACATTGCAGCTTGACGACTGTGTATCTTATGGAATAGAGAAACATACAGGCAACTATAGAGTTAAGCAAAAGAGAAAAAACGAGACAACCTATAACGATAAAAAAAAAACTCAGGCCTAAAAACCCCAAAAAACATCAAGCAACACTGGGGAATCAAAAGCTGAGAAATCCTTTATTCTTGAGAATGAAAGCCAACTGTAACTAAAAAAAGAACATACATAAAACTTTAAAACCATGCATGCATGTAGTGTAAGCACACATGCTAAAATATTTCTATAACCATCAAATGTCTTGTGAATTATAATCAGTGAGGGGAATCACCAAGAACTTAGTAGACAAACAATCTGAAGATATCTAAAGCAAGGATGTGGGAAGGTGGCAGGAAGATTTGGTTAGTAAATTGACTATCACGATGCTATCATCTGGCATTAAGATATACGTAGTAAATAAAATGGCCAAATACCTAATAACATATATTGAAGATGCTTTGATGGATGAGTATTGCACTCTAAATCTATGTTAAGCATGAATTAACATAAATTTGTGAGGGTAAAAACATGTAACTTTGCCACTCCCTTGATAGTTTGATTTTATATTTGATAGTTAGCATTAAAAATCTAAAATGTTGTGCAACCAGAGAAATTATATATAGAGTATAGACATGCTCCAGAATAAGTTGGGACATACAAGCTCTAAGAAGTCACCATGCAAGTAGGGTTGCATCCTCATTCCAAAAACCGGGGATGAAGATGACAACATCAGGCATGTCATTAAACAAGCTTTGGTCTCGATTATCAAATACTCCCTCTATCCCACAATTAAGTTCCTAGTTTGAGTTCACAAGGTTTTAGGCAAAATAACTTTTTTAATTTACTTTACAAGAATGTCCTAAAAAGTATGATAGAGAAAATTAATACTCCTTCCGTATTTTAAAGTTTGCTACACTTTCCTTTTTGGAATGTATTTAATAGTTTGCTACACTTTCCCTTTTTGGTAAGTTTTTCCTTTAAAAATACTCAATTACCCTTATTTTTTTTGTACTCTTTATCTTCTCGTTCATACTTTTTCACCCTCTCTCCTACTTTTTCTACACTATTCATTACCCCTACTATTTCATTCTTAAATGATGTGACCAAAACTATTGTAGTTAACTTTTAAATACAGAGGGAGTAATTAATCATGTACTCTTGTAGGGGTAAAATAGTATTTTACCACTCAAATATTACCAATAAGAGAAGTATGAACTTTATCGCGGGACATCCGAAAAAGGAAAGTTGAATTTCATAGTAATAGAAAATCAAAGTATCAAACGAGGGAAGTGAATAGAAGTTGACGAATGCTGACCTTCCTGTCTTTCACTTTTTTCCCCATATTAGTGTCCTCATGTTTCCTCCGCTTTCTCTAACAAATTATCATCACATTGTAAGCAATGCAACTTCAACAAACACAATAATTTGAACACACTCTTTACATACAGGATTGGTTTAATAAATTAGAATTTGATTGAAGTATAAGTTATAACCAATGTAAAGTAAAATAGTATTAACAACATCAAAGGGCTCAACAGCTCACCATTATCCACCTACACCTCATTGCAACATCACGTACTGTTTTTTCACGTAATGTGGCTGCAATTTTAATGTACTTCATGATACTTGGTTCATTGGAAAATCTGTAACAGTAGAGAATCAAAATATAATGCCTGAAGAAAATGAAAAAAAGAAAGAAGATATGTATTTTGAAGTAATGGTATTGTATCTAGAAAATGAGGTGCTGTGTGAGAGATTGTGGAACTAGCACAATTATAAAGGAACAGCCGGTGTGGTTTAAGCACGTGAATAAGTCCAAGTCATTTAAATCCAGATATGGAGTTAAACTATAACTGAATATTTAGCTGTATAAGTCTTCAAGGCATACTTAAGCTACATTTTTGGGTTCAACTGTCCAAGTAAAATATCTGCAAGCATCCAAAAGTCACAACCCCCCCCCCCATCTTGTATTTCCCATACGGCAACTATTGGAAATTGTGGTGAGCTAATATCATGCCCAAAACAGAGAATTTTATCATCTTCTGTCATAGGACCCGTTTGTTAAGGGTTATTTGGTTAGAATCCCTAGATGTTCTAGAAGGAAAATCGTTAGATAACAACCACTTCAGCCAAATATGTAAAAAGCTACAGGTTCAGATTATTCTCATGAATGCACAGTAAGCCGAATATGTCTACCAATTGGAGGCATAATCTGCACCTATCATATTTAGCTAATTACTAGTCTAATAATATATATCACGCATCACACGGTACTACGTTTCACAGTTGTTTGAAAACCACAGCTTTTGTAATGGTATTATCACACGTCCGAGTTTATCAGAGAAGAAGAGATGTGTCTCTTTGCAGTTTGATGATGCTATACCATTTGTCATGCTTTGTAGTTTTATAAGCGCTTCGAGTTTGTACTTGTTAGTTTGTAATAACAAACTAAAATAGATATGAATGATTCATGTCATTATTTTATATTAATATATATATATATATATATATATATATATATATATATATCACGCATATCTAACTTTAATGTTTATTGATAGAAGTGCAAAACTAAAAGAAAATAGCCATATACATGAAAATAAGCAAACTAATTAAAGGACGACTAAATCTTGCTCAAATTACAACAAGTAGCAATTATACCTGATTGGCCTAACTGTCTAACCATGTAAGACTCTAAGGCATGGAACATATAGACACATAGAATGGTGCATACAAAGATCCAGATATAGAGTATTTACAAGCAGACCCTCAGAACAAAATACCTACTTGCCAAGTCCTTCCTCCAACATGTGCTGTTCTTCGACAGACCAATCCACTGCCAATCCAGTATCATGCTTAAGCCCGGGGACAGTGTCAATAAGAAAGGAAGGCGAAGATGTTCCCGCCTGACTAATCCCGGGACTATTGTTACTGCTGGTAATTGTATTTTGATTCCCAGAAAACAACACTCCTCCTCCTCCACCTCCCCCTACACCACTAGTACCGCTGTTATTACATATATTTACATTCACTCCGTGATGACCATACAAATTACCAATCGGCATCATCTCTGGCGAAACTCCGGACTGAAAAGACCAAGCTTGCTGTTGATGAAACCCCAAGTTCGATTCAGCCGCCATTTCTTATGAGGTCAACTGCTTCTCTATCCCCAAATTACAGGTGAAAACCATCAGAGGTCATGGCGAAAGCTCCAAATTCCTCTTTTTTCAGTCTGAATTGTTCGAATAACAACTTGTTAAATTGACTGTACAAAAGAATAGAGCACTTTTCGCGAAAAACTTGAGTGGAAAGAAGTGGAAACTACTGCTAGAATGACATTGGAGTGAAATTTTGCCGCATCTTTGAATTGGAAAACCCTAATTAGAGATAGCTACAATCTGGAAATAGCAGCAGTAAATAGAGAGACCGCTGGGATAGAAAGAGTAGTTATACAGAGCCTGAGGGGAAAGACACAGAGAGAGAAAATGCAAATGCAAATATACTAATAATAATAGTGAGAGAGAAAGAGTGCATCACCTGATGGTGGTGGTCTAAGTTATCTAGCTAGTATAGTGATGGTTTCTCTTTCTTGTTTTTTTAATAAGGCTAAGATCGGTTCATCCCTAAATTAAAAAATGTTTAATTTACACCCTGAATCAACAAAAAGTGGTTCAAATTTATTTTAATGGGTATACAACTAGCCATTTTTTAATTTTTTTTATTGTTTCTCTTTTTTACTTTCGATTTATTGCAATTTTGACACTTTTAGTAGTTTAGGGGTGCGAATTGCACCTTTTTTAACGGTCGTTTAACCTTAAAAATGAAATGTGAACCTTTTTTTGTCTGTTCGGGATGTGAACTGAATCTTTTTTTGTTCATGGACTGAATTGAACTTATATGACCGGAACATGGGCTATTTGACCCTTTAGCCTTTTAATAATAATAGTATAATATTATAGAGGTTTTGGTGTAGACGAAAGGTCATTGTACAACTTTTTATAAATGTCATGAATATTGGCTATGCGGAGTCTCATAGGGAGGTTTGGCGTTTTGGGACGGTAAGAATGTTGTTTTACTTGGTTGCTATAATATAATTAGTTTCCTTTCAAAAAATAAATGTCATGAAATATTATTATTATTATGCATGTTAATTTACATTGAAATGAGTCTTACAATAGGAGTAAAAAAGTTTGAAAAATCCAACATATGAGTGTCATTTTTTATTCTCAAAATAGGAAAAATTACTGCCAAATTATTGAAAATATTGACATGTTTATAATCTGGTATTGTCAAAACATGACAGTAATGAGTTTTATTTTAAGAATAAAAATATGGTAGTCTTATTTTGAAAACTTTTTTAGTCTATTTAGGGTAATTTCCCAATTCAATAATTTTAAGCATATTTTTACTCATATTTCACTAATTTTCCCATAAAACTATGTGGCAACTCTCTAAATAAAGTCTATAAAGTGCCTTATTACCCGTTAGAGAATGTTGGTTTTGTTTCAATGGATTTGATATGTTTTAATTGTCCTTAAATTTTCTCTGATCTGATCTATTTAAATTTGATTTGGTCTTATTTAAATATGTCTGATATGAAACTGAAACCATTCCAATTTAAAGCATTCTTGGTCTACTTCGAATCAGTTTAATTTAATTTAGAGCCTGTTTGGTAATACCAAAAAAGTTGTACTGGCTTATTCTACTGAAATTTATGAAGTTCTGGTTGAAATGGTCAGATATACTAAATTTACTGATATATGAAAAAAAATTATTAATAAAGTAAAAAAAGAAATTATGTGAAAAACAACTCAAATGATCATCAACAATAACTCCAGTCAATAAAAAATAACTTCAACCTTACTTTTTCTTATTATTATACAATTCAACACATGAAATAAAAAATTATGTGTTTTATGAAAAATTTGGTTGATAAGCCTGGTAAATCGATAAATAGGGTCATCAAACGGGCTCTTAGTATGCTTAAATATGATCCGTTTTCTTTAGTTTTGCCTGGATTAATTCGAGTTGGTCTTAATATTATATGCAATATGATATTTATTTTCATAGATACGAATTTAGTACCAAGTAATATTGTACCTGTGAGAAGTACATAGCAAAAATCTATTATTTCATACGCAGTATGGTACTTTATGGATACCATAGAATTTACCTATTTTATATACTAAAACACAGTTTTTTTTTTTATCATCAAACGGGCCTCTATTCATATCAAAAGATTCAGGATCGTTACATCAAGCAAATGGAAAACAAAACTGACGTCAACTAAAACTCCAACAACTACGACTGTAACCCTATGGTGAGACTTTGAGACGGTCACCCCTGAGAGAGCAACACGAATCGCTAATCATGTAGTGGGCTTGACACAGCCAAACTTGTCCCCATAGACCCAACCATACCAATGACATAAAGAGAGGCTAAAAACTCAAACAAACTGTCAAAACCAACAACAAAAGTGGACACAAGAAAACAAATAACAAACAGATAAAAACTACAAGAAAAGCGTTCACGAACTCTAGCACCTCGTACATCCCATGGTGGTGGTTCAGGAGGAGGTCGTACCACCGGTACCATGCTAATTGATCCTCCATGACCTTTGGTGGCCAAAGACCATGCATCAATCCTCTGTCTTTGCATAACCAAACTCATCCCTGCTCCGTGCGACCAGAGTAAACAGATAGGCGGCGCCGATCTCCTCCAACGACAACAGCAACGCCACATCCTCGAACCTTGACCACAACGCCGATCTCCTCGAGCCATGACAGCAAATCCGCCCCCCTCCACTGATCTCAGCCCTCCACGTCTGACCTGGACTCCAGCCGAGCACCAGCGACCAAGGGATAACAAAGCCGATCTTCGACAAAGTCGAAATCGGAAAAAGGCTCAAGCGGCCGACATAGTCGAAGCCCTAGAGAAAAACAAAACTGTCAGATCGAATCTGAATCTCAACCCTCTTCTTCTGCTCGCAAGAACCGAATTATCGCGCATGCATAGAGAGCTAGCCGCCTAGGTAGGGGTGGTTCGATACGGTATACCTTATATTTTTTCTCATACCTTTGCCATGCCAAAACTTTCGGTATGCAAAATTTGCATACCTTTACCTTACCGAAGTTTCGCTATACCGCATTTCGGTATACCGAAGTTTCGGTTCGGTAACGGTACGGTATCGGTAAATTACCGTGCATGTCTCCCAATACAAAAAATTATCATTGACTAACGAAATATACTAAATCGTTATTACTATCGACATATTAAATCTATTATTAAAATGTTACGAAATACAATTAATAATCTATTGATGTCAATTCAATATTGAAGAATAACTATTATTAGTATATTTAAGGAGTTCAACATGCCACATATTAAAAAGTTACACATTCTCCTAAAATAACTTAAACAATATAGATATAATTAAATCAATAGTGATCTCTAACAAAAAAATAAAACTATTCAAACAACATGGATATAAAATCATTTATTCCTAATATGATATTGTGTATTCGGTCATTTTTATAATTTTTTAAAAATTGAATAAGACTTTCGGACAAAGTTGTGTGTCTCGACTCGTGGAATCCCTATGTAAATACACTTGTCACATAAGTGTATCTCTCTTCACTCGTCAGCTACTTAGCGGCTCAGTCATCACGACTTGCAAGCTCTTGGAACATGATGGACTTGTTTCTTGACATTTGTACATTACTCATTAGTCATTAAGGTTAGCGTAGTAGAAGCCGATAAGGTTATAGTGGGTTTGAGAAATTGGACCTTTATTTTTGTATTTTTGTATTTGTAACCAACTTAAGTATTAATTTTGGGCTTTAAAATTGTAATGGATTTCTACAATATATTAGAATTAAAAGTAATTGTTGAGTAGAGAGTCGGTACGGTATTATACCGGTATACCGCGGTATTTGAAAACATTTACCGTTACCGTACCGAAATAGATCGGTACGGTAAGATACCGTACCGAAAATGACGGTATACCAATATTTCGGTATTTTCCGGTATTTTTCGGTACGGTAAGTGCGGTATACCAATATTTCGGTATTTTTGCCCACCCCTACGCCTAGGCTAGGGTTCTCCCGATGTTATTAGTGTTTTAGCAGGATGGAATCAATGCTCCAAAACCCATTTTAGGATGCCCGTTTTCTCCCATTTCCCTTTCAAAAAGATTTGTGTACTAAAACACAGTTATAACTCGCTGATGTGTAGGGTTGTATACGAACCGAATCGAGTCGAATAGTAGGATTTTGTATTTGTATTTGTTTAATTTTTCCGAATACGAATTCGAATTCAAATATGAAACGAATATTAATTTCGATTTGTATTTGTATTTGTTTAACAATACGAATAGTTAATGAATCTTATACGAATATCGAATAGATTTGAGCATAGGTTAAATATTAGTCAAATGTCACTTAAAATTAAATTTTCTTATATTTTTTTATGTTGTAAATGTACGCTATGATTTAATGTGTTTTTAGAATTTAAATTCAATGGATCAATGCATTTTTAGATTGTGCACGATATACTAAAGTGAATCAATTTTATGATTAATAAATATAAATCTATTTCAAACTTTTTGAAATAAACACTAACATATTAGAAATTACACTTATAATGTGTGAAATAAGTTGATAATTGTATATATCAAAGTCAGACGACTCTAATTTTATTATGCGAATCGAATACATAATTATTTGTATTATTTTTTAAAGACATTTGAACCAAAAATCCGATTTGTATTCATATTTATACTCTGATTTATTACAAATTGACTTAGAATTTGTATGCATAAATGTATATATGAACTACACTTTAGGGTATTGCTATTTTTTTTAAGTTATTATAGTGTTATTACTATTATTATTAATATTATTATTATTATTAATATTATCACTATTATTAATCGAATATATTTGATTAATATTCGAATCGAATACACTGATATTCTTATTTGTATTTGATAACAAATCGAATCAAATTTAATATTCATATTTGTATTTGTATTTGAATTTTCCGAATTCGAATCGTCTTATACGAATTCGAATCGCGAATCGAGCAAAAATTATTTGATTCGTTTACAACCCTACTGATGTGTCTTTCTCTCATTGGTTTACAAAATTTAATTAAAACATTTAATTAGAGAAAAACGCAGGAGAAAAAACCGGAAGAAAAGAAGTAAAAAGAATTGGAGAAAAAGTAGGGGCAACAAGTGGAGGAAAAAACGTAGGCATTCAGAAGCAAAATGAAATGTTCCAGGCAGGTAGAAAATATCTGAGTATTCACTCGATCAGATATCTGTTAAAGATAAAAAACTTATTAAAATGATTATTCAAAAGATTGCACTTTTAATAAATAATTATCAAATTAAAGTTAAATAGTTATAAGATTGTTTCTATAACTTTATCATTATTATAATAAAGTTAAAATGAGTAAATTTATCACTATTAAGAAATATTTCATACTTTTACATCATAACATTAATTGATTTATTAAATCTTAATGTGCTTAATTATTGATTGAATTGTGCATTAATAATATGATGATAAATTATGTTCAATAATACCTGATTGTATGCATTAATACATTCAGTTCATCAGTACGAAGTATAATATTATGAAAGTTATAAATTTTATACTTTTATGAAAATACTTTTAACAAGAACATTTCTATATTATAAATAACTTCCGATAAAAAGATATGATTGGTCAAAGTTTTAAAAATGAAAAAGTTTAATGGAACGGAGATAGTCACCTATAATATATGATGATGGATACAACTGTTGTTACACGCGTTTGACAACTTGGACTACATTCAAAAAGGCTTGACCATGGCAATTAATGACGCATTTAGTGGGAGTAATGCTAGCTGATTAATCTGAGCGGTTTTATGTATATAATTAGAGTAATTATTGTAGTTAAGGTGTAGGTTAATTAAAGGGCTGACCATAATTGATGATGACATAATGACGATTTTGATGTCGTCGTAACGGTCGGAACATGTCGTCAACGGACAAAAGTGCATTAAATGCCTCTCTTATAAATAGTTACATGCTCTATATAATCAGGACACACTCAGTTACGAATATACACAAAAGAGTTCTCCTATTCTCTCTATTGAAGCTCATAGCTATTCATATTATATTCAAATTATTGATTATAGATAAATCTATTTATTTTATCTTGTCAATCATACTTATTCGATCTTATTTGCTTGATTCTCAATCCAATTTCATATATATTTTAGATTAGTTTATTTTGTATAAACAACAACTCAATAATCATTTAACAAATACAAATTTGTGGTTGTGGTTAGTTCATAATGAAAATTCATTATATTCAACTTTGGATCTTATCAATAATTCATAATATCTATTAGTGTCTTCATTTTAACTCATACGGTGTATCAAATTGATGTGCTACCGGGGCATGTTCTGGGCTTTACACTAGTATTCTTGCATTTTATTTGTGTTTTTATACAAACTAGAATGCTACTCGAAGCTATATTTACTTTAAAGGCAATTGAAAATTTAAAGCATGCATGTTATAATAAAAAATGAGAATAATAATAATAGTATTATAGTAATACTATATATATTATACTAAACCACCTATTCTATCTTTGAATGCGTTGAGCAATCCATTCATTTATATATCAAAATATTTTTCTTCCGACCAACTAAAGAGGCAATCCCAAATATTTACTTCATGTTTCCTCCAAGACCCCTAAGGCTAGTCGGATAATGATGGACTTCAAAAGCCACTATTATTTCATCAACTACCGACCTCGGGAACACACTTTGATTTTCAGCAAATACTCCCTCTAATAAAAGTTTCAAACGATTAACTAGTTATCTAGCATAAATTTTATAGGCAACAATACATAGGGCTATTGAGCCCCCTTGGCTCTGAGGTTGCTCCTTTTTTTTTGTATTAATATTATAACAGTATCATAGACCGTTCCGATATTTGTCCCTTTTAAAAAATATTGGCATAGAAATCAACTACTGTCAGTCCCACAACATCCCATAAGTGGTGGGAAAACCTGAATTTAAATCATTTTGCCTTGATACCTTATCCGGGTTCATACTAAATGCTGATGCTTTCACTTCCTCTGTCCCAATATCCCATAGTTGCTCCTCACTGATTTTACCCCTAAGGCTCCCCACCTTTTGCATCACTGACTACCTCCCTCCACGAAAATAAATTCACAAAATAATTATACACCACACCATTCAATCATCCTTTTCTGTTACCCACTTTCATGTATCCGCCTGGAGCCCTCTCAACAAATTATGTCTCCAAGTTACAGTCAAAATTCCTTAACTCTTTTTCTCTTTCTTCTAAAAAACATTTTGTTTTCCCAAGAGCATCATATAGCACTCTTGTGTTCGGGCAAAGTCAGCCATTACCGCGACATCTATCCTCTCCCAGATTCTTTCCATATGTCTTTTACATTCCTCAATCTGGCGTTGATTGAAAGCCACACTTTAGATGTCTGCCCCATTTACCCAGTTCAGATCCACAAAATTGTAATCTATTTTGGAGATGTTGACCTCGATAAATAAACCATTAAGTTCTCTACTATACTTCAATAGTTTTGGTCCCGCAACCAGTGGTTTTTAAATTTAAACTTCGGCCTCTGATGACTAAGCGCCCTATGTGAGGACTTAATGAAGAGAGCTAGTAGCTAGGTGGTCACTATTACTACTTGATACGATAGTAGTTGATATGAATGTGGCCCATGCACCCCCATACATATCAAGCCAACCTTCTGAAGCCAGTATGTTGTCTAATTTCTTCTCCACCCATGCCGAAAAACTTGGGTCTCATTCCCATGTAATTTTTCTCCTCAAACAGGAAGTTACCAAACCACTCCCCCAAAATGCATACCGAAAACCTGTCAACACCCATGGAGGTTGAGGACATTCAATATGGGACTAACATTCCTCTCTTTTCATACTCATTCATTGTGTCGTATTGTCGTCAAAGTCGCCTATTACTAGTCATGGTAAATCACTAATGCCCGCCGAACTTCTAAGAAGCTCCCAAGACTCTCCTATGGTGTTTACGGAATCCATAGTATTCGCCTATTCGGTGAGCCGCCATTTTTATTGTGAGCTTGTTACTATCTTCATATCAATATGGTTTCGAGAGAGCCCCTTTATTGTGACACCCACTCCTTCCTTCCTAAGCATCACCAAACCTCTATCGTGTCCCTCTCTTACCACCATGAACACATGTTAAAACCCTATGTAGTTTCAAATTTCTCCCATCCTTTATGTGCCGAATAGCGTCTTCATCAAGAAAACAATGGATATATGAGTGATGAGCCAAGACTATATATGCGGTGACTTGTACAATTGCTAACGGCCTGTATGGATGGAGTGTTAAGAGGTGTTAGTAATGGAAGTGTTATTAAGTGTTGTCAGGTGCCTAGAAGGGAAGATAAGTGTAAGTGTTAAGTAAAAATTAACCATGTTTGGAAGAGTAAAAAAATGGAGTGTTAATAATGGAAGTGTTTTCACCTGAATTTACAAAAATATTCTTATCCTTTTAAAATGGTATATACACTATATTTACACAATAAAATACATCTCCACCTGCACGCTAAACATAAAAAAAAAAATTGGAAGACTCCTTTCTATCCTTGAGATCAAAGAGTGAACTATGTAGATCGGTCAATAGCTTGGACACTTAATAGCAGATGCAATTCCCAACTTCCTCCATTAGAAAATCCCTCCAAGTGCTTGTCCTTAATGGTGTTGGTTCCACTACTGTCTGAAGCTTGAAGGCCTCACTGCAAAGGAAGCTGTTGTCTTCTGCGATTGAATCAAAAGTGACCTGTTGAGTCAATTGTGCTTCTCAGAGGTTTATTGAGATGGGGGACCAAGGTTGTTCCAGAAGAGCAGAGTGAGAAGGAGATGAACGGACGACGAGACTGTGCGGCAAAAGGACAACGAGACTGTGTGTCAACAATTTGAGAAGGGCCAGGTTTTATTATATTTTTTAGAGGTAATTGTCTAACACACCAAAACACTACAATTTGGGGTGTTAAAAAGTGGACAATTGATATGTTAAAGGAGGTAATTACTAACACTTTCTAACACTTATTAACACCTCCTAACACTTCTCAATTTCTCTCCCAAACAAGTGTTATTGTCAACCCTTCTCAACACTTCCATTACTAACACCTATCAACACTTCATCCAAACACACTGTAAGTTTCCCAAACCCCAACAATTCCATATTTCTAGCTAACACATCCCATAAAAACTCTCTCAACTTAGTGCTCACCAGCGAGAACAAAAGCTTCCCCACAAATAGGGGTGGACTCGGGCCGGGCCAACCGGCCCGGAACCGGACCAGCCCGCTACTGTGCGGGCCCGGACCGGCCCGGTCAACCGGTTCTTGACCGGTTCGGGCCACCCGGCCCGGTGGTATAGCGGTCCGGGCTCGGGCCTCCATTTTAGTGAACCGGCCCGGCCCGGCCCGGCCCGGTTCGGGCCTCCAACGGCCAGATTTTTAAAAAAAAAAAAAAATTTTTTTTAAATTGGAAGAGGCTCTCCTAGCCGTTGGGAGCATAGGAGGGGGGGGTCTGGGGGGTTAGGGGGGGTGGGGTGGGGGGTCGGGTGGGGGGGTGGGGGTGGGGTATAAAAAAAAAATCTATTTAAACTCCTATTTTCTCTACATTTTTTACATCTCTTCTTCTACAACTCTTCCTACTCTCTAATTCTCTACTCTAAATCTCTCATATTCAATCATCTTCATTCTTCATCTTCTCCAAATTCTTTCTACATATATATAATTTATATAATTATTATATCTACTTATATATTAATTATCTATTTAAAAATATATACTTATACACATTCATATTATAATTCTTTACACATTATATATACTATATAAGTATATATACTATACACATTCATATTCACTTGATATTTAGTTATTATCCATACTATTGTTATTTACTTATATTTACATATTACATTTAGTTAATATATACTTATATATATATATATATATTAAAGTATTAAGTATAAGTGTATTACTCATCTTATAGTAATATACTTATATATTATATACTATAAACATTATATATACTATATATACTTATACACATTCATATTTATTTGATATTTAGTTTTTATACATACTATTGTTATTTACTTATATTTACATATTACATTTAGTTAATATATACTTATATATATATATATATATATATATATATATATATTAAAGTATTAAGTATAAGTGTATTACTCATCTTATAGTAATATACTTATATATTATATACTATAAACATTATATATACTATATATACTTATACACATTCATATTTATTTGATATTTAGTTTTTATACATACTATTGTTATTTACTTATATTTACATATTACATTTAGTTAATATATACTTATATATATATATATATATATATATATTAAAGTATTAAGTATAAGTGTATTATTCATCTTATAGTAATATACTTATATATTATATACTATAAACATTATATCATATATTACTTATAATAGTAGTTAATTGTTAGACTTCTAATTTATCTATTAAATTAGTTAATTGTTACATTTCTCTACATTTCTCTTTAAAGAAAAACATAGTTAAAGTAGTATATTTTTACATTTGTCATATTTCAATTAGTTAAAGTACTTAATTGTTTCATTTGTCATATTAAAATTAGTTATTTCATACATTGCTCATTAAAGTAAAAAAAAAAAAAACTAGTTAAGTTTTACATTTGTCATAATAATATTAGTTAAACTACTTAATTGGTACATTTTTCATATTAATATTAGTTACTTGCTACATTTCTCATTAAAGTAAAAAAAAGTAGTACATTTTTTCATTTGTCATATTAATATTAGTTAAAGTATACATTTCTCATTAAGGTAAAAATAACTAGTAAATTTTTACATTTGTCATTTTAAAAACTACCTAAAGTAGTTAATTGTTAAAATTGTCATATTAATATTAGTTAAACTACCTAATTGTTACATTTCTCATATTAATATTAGTTGATTTGTACATTGCTCATTAAAGTAAAAAAAAAAACTAGTTAATTTTTACATTTCTCATATTTATATTAGTCAAAGTAGTTAATATTTAGTTAATTGATACATTTCTCATTAAAGTATTAATTAGAAGTAGTTCGATTTGTATACTCATATTTTAGTTCGAATTCGCAATAGTTTTTTTAGTCACATTTTATTATTACTATTGTACTCATATAAAATATTTGATATCATTTAATATTTGTTCAATTTTAAAGATAGAACGTGGTAGACATTCTGTAGATGTGGGTAATCTCCAACGCAACCGCAAGAGGGAGATTGCGTCGACTCGTCCTAATTCACGCAAAGGCAAAGGTAAAGCGCGGGCCGAGTCTTCTTTTCAAAGTCGAGAGATTTTGAAACGGATTACCAACGGAGAGATGATATGATGATGTCCGACGAGCATCTACAAAACCTATTGTCCCAAAACGATCCACGCTTTGCACAAGAACAACCCATCCCGACAACCATTGATGAAGAGGAGCTCGAGGATGACGATGCGGAGGAGGACGCGGGGGGCGACGGGACTCACGGCACCCCGGATGATGAGTAAGACTTGGAGGACGAGGACGGTTCAACCCAAACTGGTAAGAAATCTAAATCTCCTATTATTGAAAACAATTTTACAAAGAGGAAAGACAAAAATACCGAAAAATGGTACGCAAGTTGCAATCATTGCGGCAAAGAGTATAGCTTGGGAACTTCTGGCGGATACGGGAGTCTCACAAGGCATCTTAAATCCGCCCATCTTGTGGAGTATGCGAAAATAGACAAGGGCAAGGGGAAGCAAACACAAATATCGAGGTTTGCAAATTCTCAACCCTTTGGTAATTTCTCCTATGATGATCAAAAACATTTGACTGGTATGTCTCATTTAATTGTTGAAGAAAATTTACCCTATATTTTTTCCGAAAGTCTTGCTTTAAGAGATTATGCTCAAGGCACTTTAAATCCTCAATTTAGAAATTATAGTCGCAAAACGATTAAAAAAGAAGTTATAAGGCAATATAACTTCGAAAAAGAAAATTTACAAACATTTTTCGCAAACTTTAATGGACGTGTTAGTATTTGTAGCGATATATGGGAGGATACTTATCATCATTTATATTATTTGGGTCTTACTGCACATTATATTGATGATGATTGGAATATGCATAAACGTGTTCTTGCTTTTCGTGAATTCAATGATCGTCATACTGCTGATAATATTTATATTCTCATTGAGCGTATTTTAATTGAGTATAATTTGCTTGATAAGGTGTTTGCTGTAGGTTTTGATAATGCTAGTAATAATACTGCTGCTATACCTAGATTGCGTGAATTGTGTGGTGCTTCTACATTGATGGGTAGGTTTTTTCATCAACGTTGTGCATGTCATATTCTAAATTTGTGTGTACAAGATGGATTAGCGGCATTAGGAAATGCTTTGGAGGTTGTGAAGGGGGGAATTAAATTGATTTGGGCTAACACTCCACTAAAAATGCAATGGCGACAATATTTGAAGGAAAGACGTGTCAATTATTGTGCTTTTCCTAAAGATTTGTCTATTCGTTGGAATAGTACTTATAACTTAATTCAAGTACTTATTAGATATAAAGAACATTTTCCTGCTTTTTTAAGACAAACTTGTAACTATATTATAAACCCGGCTGACATCGACACTTGTGAAAAAATTGTTAATGTTTTGGTATATTTTAATAACGCAACTCAAACTTTTAGTCATGTTTATAAACCTACCGCAAACGAATTTTTTGTTGAAGCTGTTAATCTCGCCGGCGCATTTTTAGAATTTTCCGATGCCGCTTACGTTAGTTATTTTTGTGATTTCATGAAACAAAAATTTTTAAAATATTATTCACATGTTCCGCATATATATGGTATTGCATTTGTTCTTGATCCTCGTTATAGACTTGCCGCGTTGCCAAGTTGTATAGATTACTATTATAATTGTTTTTTTCCAACTCAAGAGTTCGATGATAATCCCATCGACCCTAAACAAGAATACAACGAGGTTAGTAATTTATTTCATCAATTGTATAATGAATTTTATGCACAATATGGTAATGCACCCCCTCCCATGCCGCGAACATCTTCTTCATCTAAAGGAAAATCACTTTTAAAATCTGCATTTGGTTCTCTTATGAAAAAAAGTAGAGCAACTCCCGCTACTGAACAAAGCTCAGTTAACGAGCTTTCTATCTATCTAACATTGAATGTTGATTATGAAGTTGGGGATGATTTTGACGTTCTTAAGTGGTGGAAGGACAATGAAAGAACGTTCCCGGTTTTATCAAAACTGGCTAAGCAAGTGCTAGCAATGCCGATATCAACAGTTGCCGTGGAACAAGAATTTAGTGCGGCCGGCAACGTCCTAACTGATTATAGAACGAGGTTGAGCCCGAGCTCTCTTGAGACGCTAGTTTGCTTCCATGATTGGTTGAAGGCCAAACGAAGAACTCAAGAAATGACCATCGCTCCCACCCGCCACTTTATGGAGGAAACAACCACCGAAGGCGGAGATTCCGATTGATTTTTTATTTCAAAATGTATTACATATTTTAAATGCATCCTAATTCTCAATTGTACTTCTTATTTGAAATAAATATACTTGAATTATTTTATATTATTGTGTACATCAATTCAATAAAATTCATTTGTAAACTTGTACTTCATATGTAGCACTTCTCAAATTAATTAATTGGTTACAATTTTACAAACTTATAACTTACAACTTGAAATTATTTTTGTAAAATCTAAACGCTGTTTTTAAATTAAAATATGTAATATTAATATGTAAATTAATTAATTTGTTACAAACTTACAAGTTACAACTTATACACCTATTTTGTAACATTTGTAAATTATAAATCAAATCACATTTCTAAGTAAAAATAGTTTTACTTAATTAAAAAATTAAAAACATTTTCCTTACACAATATGTATAATTTTCTAAATCATATCACTTTCCTTACACTTTTCTAAATCAAATCACTTTTCTAAGTAAATTATACACAATATGTATAATTTTCAAAAAAAGAAAATTAAAACATTTTGAAGTGGGAGATTGCTCCCAAACGGCTATATAGCCGTTGGGGCTTAGGGTGGGGGGTGGGGGGGTCGCGGGGGGTGGTGGGGTGGGGGTGGGGTTCAAAAAAATCTATAAATACATTTATTTTCTACCATTTTCTACACCTCTTCTCCAACTCTTCTCCATCTTCATCTTCTCTTATTATCCTACATTTCTACTTATAAGTTATACATCTACCATTTTAAAGATGGAAAGTAATTCTTCTGTTATGCAAAACAACTTTGACAAGTGGAAGGATCCGAAGACCGGACTGTGGTGGGCAACTTGCAAGTGGTGCAAAAAAGAGTGTTGCTTGGGCCGTTCACACGGAGTCGGGATGCCAATGAAACATATGAAGTCATGTGACAAAGGTAAAACAACAACCAACGGTGGCGGAAATCCCAATTGATATTTATTCGAAAATGTATTTCATATTGTTATTTTTTCCTCAATTCTCAAATGTACTTCCTATTTCAAATAAATGCACTTGAATTTTGTTTTTCATAACAATTATTATAATTATATAGTATAGAATATAAAAAAAAATGAAAAGGACCGACCCGAACAGGGCCCGGCCCGTGAACCGGGCGGGCCACCCGGCCCGAACCGGACCCGGGGTTACCCGGGCCGGTTCCGGGCCTCCCAAACCGTGAACCGAGGCCCGGCCGGTTCAAGGCCCGAACCGGGCCCGGCCCGAACCGAGTCCATGCCTACTGTCACGGGCATAGAGTCTGGCGCAGCACACAGCGCCCGTGCGGCGTCCCGGGGTCCCTCTCATCCCCGAGGACCAGCCTCGCTCTCATACGAACCGAACTGGTTTCGCCCTGCCTTGGGCTCATCAGGGGAACGACAATAGCTCCCGACCAGTTGTGCCTTCAGACACGCGTTCGTCTCCTTCATAGTCAAGCCCCTTGCCCAACTCGGCCAGACCTTAGCGTCTAAGGCAGAACTCCCCTTGACGCTATTGCCTCCCACATGCCTCACCCGTACAGCTAGCCAGTCGGTCCATCCCATTCATTGAGCCTAACACGGTCACGACCAACGGTCCGTGACATTCTCCCCCACCCAAAATCTAGCACGTCCTCGTGCTAGGGGAGATGACTCTGCCCAAGAATCGCCATGCTTAATATTGTCAACGCGCCTCATCACCAGGCCGCCTCTCTCTCAAGCAGCCCGGCCGAGCTGGTGGCCACCCGAGTTCCCATTCCCTCAGGAACCCATCCGCCCCTGCGGACCATCAGGAGTGGAGCCGTCATCAGCACGTACCGGCCCTAGAGCCACCATGCTCGCATAGTCCTCATCCCTCACGAGGACCCCACCATTCCACGCGACAATATAAGCATGACCGGCTCTGATACCACTTGTCACGGGCATAGAGTCTGGCGCAGCCCACAGCGCCCGTGCGGCGTCCCGGGGTCCCTCTCATCCCCGAGGACCAGCCTCGCTCTCATACGAACCGAACTGGTTTCGCCCTGCCTTGGGCTCATCAGGGGAACGGCAATAGCTCCCGACCAGTTATGCCTTCAGACACGCGTTCGTCTCCTTCATAGTCAAGCCCCTTGCCCAACTCAGCCAGACCTTAGCGTCTAAGGCAGAACTCCCCTTGACGCTATTGCCTCCCACATGCCTCACCCGTACAGCTAGCCAGTCGGTCCATCCCATTCATTGAGCCTAACACGGTCACGACCAACGGTCCGTGACATTCTCCCCCACCCAAAATCTAGCACGTCCTCGTGCTAGGGGAGATGACTCTGCCCAAGAATCGCCATGCTTAATATTGTCAACGCGCCTCATCACCAGGCCGCCTCTCTCTCAAGCAGCCCGGCCGAGCTGGTGGCCACCCGGCCAACCTGGCTCTGATACCACTTGTCACGGGCATAGAGTCTGGCGCAGCACACAGCGCCCGTGCGGCGTCCCGGGGTCCCTCTCATCCCCGAGGACCAGCCTCGCTCTCATACGAACCGAACTGGTTTCGCCCTGCCTTGGGCTCATCAGGGGAACGGCAATAACTCCCGACCAGTTGTGCCTTCAGACACGCGTTCGTCTCCTTCATAGTCAAGCCCCTTGCCCAACTCGGCCAGACCTTAGCGTCTAAGGCAGAACTCCCCTTGACGCTATTGCCTCCCACATGCCTCACCCGTACAGCTAGCCAGTCGGTCCATCCCATTCATTGAGCCTAACACGGTCACGACCAATGGTCCGTGACACTACCCACAAACGAGGGAGACAACAACCTTCAATAAAAATCCAGGACAAAGTACTACTTGAAAAAACTCATACACTTCAGTCAAAAGGTCGACTTATAGCCTTCGTCACCGTCACAGCTAGGGCTTTCATACATTCTAGTGAATAAAAAAATGTACTAAGTATTTAAAAAGTGTTTTTAAGAATTAATAAATAAATAAATCCAGTACTTGATTCACTTTGCACATAGTGTAATAAATGTGTGGCACCATAAAACATTAACAGCTGAAAGGTTTGAATGTGTATTTAGTCCTTACAAATACAATACATGTTGTTTTACATCTCTGTGAAATTATTTTTAGTTTTTCATCACCCCAAAATAACCCCAAATAATAGATTTTCGATTTTCTCTAATTCCTTGTCATGCTATCCAAAAAAGTTTTTGGTTTTTTTTAGAAGGTTGTAATGCATATTTTTTAAATGTGAATAATTAGTTTTACATTGTTTTAATTCTCATATTAGCTTCAAATATATATATATATATATATATATATATAAGGATAAATTTAAATGTTTCATGTAAATTTATGCAACTCAAAATAATTTTTTCCTAAATAGAGTGGTTTTGAAGTTAGAGCCTTAGAGATGAACTAAAAACAAAATAGTACATATTACAAGGATGAAAGCAAAAAAATTACAAGGACTCAAAAAAAATACAAAAGGATAAATTTTAATGTGTCATATTTGCAAGGACAAAAAACATATCTAAGCCTACGATAATTAGCAAAAGGCCAAAAAATCCCTGCATATCAATGTTCCTCAATGCCATTGTAATCTGACTCTAATTTTCATTACTTTTTCTTCACTTCTGGAGAAGAATTATAATATATAGATGTGTATATGTTGTGTTTTTGTATAGGTATGAATCTTTATCTCGATTATATGCACCGAAAAGAGTTGCAACGCCTGCAAAACACATGAACCCACTCAATTATCAAGCATGGCCAAATGTACTCAAGAAAAACATCAGGAAAAAAACTAAATGGTGGATCAAAATTTCAGCATTTAAGCAGCCACTTGTAAAAAAAAAGTAGATGAATATAACTGTATGAATCAAATTTAAAACTTCCTCGAGAATTGGCTGATTGGTATTTTGGATGTCTACTTCATATTGGATCAACTAAACTGAAATAATGTTTTTCCGCATGCATGGAACAAATATAGGAACATAAAATTTTATGTTCTTGCCTTCTTGGAAGGTTAAAGGGCCAAAAAGGGTTCAATTATGCCTTTCTTGGTTTTAGATTGTCTATTTAGATTTTTTGAATTGGAGGCTGAATTGCAATATTTTGAAAGGGCTTATTTGGCCATCTTTCTCGTTTATAAATAATTGGTAACATTTAGAGCATGTATAAATTCTGGAAATGCTGGGAAAAGGAGAAAAAGGCTACAGAAAGTTACTTTCTTCTGTTTGGTTTGCTTTGGAAATGCAAAGGAAAATGGTACATGATTAATGCTTTTCAAATGTTGGCATGCTTAGATTTCTTCGTCTTTATTTATATATAATAGAAATAGATAAACAATATAAGTTTGACCAACTATCCATAACACATTTGTAGAGTTCGAAGCAATATTTATTTTCCCCTACATTTTGTATCCTTCACAAGTTCTCCTATATTTTCCTCCCTATTTTATTTCTCTAGAATTGTCAATGTTCCAATGTTACAAAGAGGCAACATATCTAGAAAAAGATAATGGTGTAGGGAACAATTATTTAAAGCATCAAGAAACATAGCTCATAAAAATGGTGTTCTATACCTCAACTAGAAACATTTGAAAGAATCAGCAGTACTTGCAGAAATTCTTCTGCAGCCAGACGGACTCCCACATTTCATTGAGAGGAGCAATGCCAACAATCAAGGATTAAATAAGCTTGAAGCACCAATGTTCCAAGCCACAAGGACTGAGATACTTGTAACTACGGCGAGCCAAAACAATGCTGAACCTGCAAACCTCTCTTATTAATGAATTTAAACCGATCCAAAAACCTGGATGAGTCCCTCAACACTAATTCTCAGTTTGGTCCTCAAATTTCTTTTGGGCTCAATTTAATCCACTAAACAATTTAGGCTCAATTAAGTCCTCATGCATATTCCCCTCCAATTAAAAAGGGTATTTCATATGGCAAGGACTATATTTGGGCCAAATTACATAATTGAGATCCAAAGTCAATCACTGAATCCTGAATTGGGCCTACATTGAGATAATACGCAAAAAATACCCCTCTTATGTATAACCAACACATGTAAGAACTATATGAAGTGCAAATATAATAGCAGAGGAACAAACCGAGCCAAAATTAAAGTCAATTAAATCAAGGATAAACGCATTTAAATATATCTACAGTTTTAAGTCCATATTTTATTGTAAAGGACCAAGCAGTGTCCAAATGGACATCAATTAACTAAATCAGGAATCAAGTCATCTAAATGTATCTACAGTATTGATTCATGAGGGTAATCTTAGCTGGAACTGCCAAGTAAAGTGGTATATTTACCTATAAATCCTTCACTGCTACTTTCAGGAATTTGCTGTTGAAGTCTGGGAGTGGAACTACGTGATTTTGATGTTGGTACTTCATCTCTAGCATTATCAGCATAATTTCCAATACCACCACTAGTTTCAGATGATGATACTATACCTAAGAATTCCTCACTCACAATTAAAGCAGCAAGAACATCCATAAGTGACCCTTTATCCATTTCATGATAAGACTCATCCCCCATTTTCTTCTTAAAGACAGTCACCAATTGGTCAGAGTCAGAAAACTCATCATCATCATCTGATCCATCTGCACCCATTGATCTTACCACACTCCTCTCATCATCTTCATCATCAACATATTCCTTATATGTCAATCGCAGTAAGACTTCTCCAGCTGGCCGCTGATTAAATAAGCCCCAACCTCCTAGGCTCACAACCTTATCCTTAGGTACTGTATCTTTTAGTGAGCCGAGATTAACCTAAAATTCAATCATTCACTGTTATTTTCTTTATAAGAGACTTGCTTTTAAACTAAAAGATACTGCAAATTAAAAGTTATGGTTCTACGCAGCAGTGTATATAAAGCTCGGATTCTTCAATTTGAATCTATTTACACGTTACCAAGAAGAACTAAGTTCATTGTGAAATCTAGTTACACGTTACAGAAATGTGAAACAGCTTTTTTGGACCCTGATTCTTCATTTTGGATAACAAACGCATATTTGAACTTTTAGTCCTTCAACCTAAAATGATATGGAGTATGTTTGTTTCCATCAACTATTTACTAAATAGTAAATACCATAGGATTTGAGTACAATGTATATACAACCACACATTGAAAAGGAACATTACGAAATGATCAAACTAAATATGTAACTTCAAGGATTTACAGAAGCAACGACTCACATCAACTGTCAACTACCTAAAAACAAAAACACAGGTGGAGAACACACAAGGGCATAAGGCTATAGATTAATTCATTAATACTGCCCTTTTTAGTACACACGGGTGGAGATTAAAATTAGCAGAAAATTTTTAGAAATAAAAAGAAAAACACATCATTGTAGTATTGTACCCTCTCTCCTACTTGGAATATTTACTGTTTAAGAGTAACTTTTAAATATAAAAATTAAAATTTTATATTAAAAATGACTCACTAAACTGTCTGTGCTTCTTTATTATGAAAGAGCAGTCAATCTATGCAATTTTTTTATGGGATTTTCATCATAGGTCATCCGGAAACAGTCTCTTTGTGCTTTAGCATAGAGGTAAGACTGCGTACATCCGACCCCCCGACCCCCCGACCCCAGCGTAAGTGGGAGCCTTTGCAGCACTGGGGTCATGTTGTTGTTGTTGAGGAGTAACTTTTAAATATAAAAAAAAAGTTAAGTGTTATCATTAGTTGGTGCTTACCTTAAAGACAAAGTATAATATGTAATCTAGCTCTTAATAAGCAAAGATAAGGGAATTGAATTCTAAAGAACGTGTAAAAAACATAAGGCTAATTGTGATAATAAAAAGTGAACTTCATTTAGCTTATGTGTCTTTATAATGAAATGAAATAGAGACATGGAGAAAGCTCATATGTTTAACAAAATTGTTTCAAATGGAAAGACCTATACCTCTCCTCTACCCACAGTCACATCGGCAAATCCAAGGGAATCCTTCACTTCAACGTACAGATTTTGTCGACTTGGATCTGCAACTAACATATGAAAATCCTGTGGTGCAGAGTTTAAACCAAACAAGCAGCCGATGAACATCGTAAGTTCAAAAGAATTGGACCACAATTCAACTCTACAGTTTTCAATGGCAAGTCATAAAGCCTGACCTGATTCCAAATAGGTTCACCAGGAGGTCCAGTAACAGTAGTTTGACTGTTCCTTTTACTGCGTATCACTTGATCTCCAAGTCTAAGAATAACATATGGGTCAGTTTTACCTGGATGACAATTTACAAAGGATGTTAACAAAGCAAAACATATACGGAAAAGAAAGAACAAACTAACAATGACCAAATGCAACTAGCAATCCTCAAAATAGAGTATGCATATTTATTAAGGAAATGGGAAAAACAAAAAACATTGCAATTTGCAAGAGAAAAGAAAAAAGGCACCCAAACTAGTTGATTAGAGTAAATATTTCCATATCAAATAATCACTGTTCTTAAAATCAGCATTTTTCAAATTTTTATGTGATATTGTACTCCTATTCTCCCATGTTGTTCTAAGGAAGGATTACTGAACAAAATGCAGCGTACATTCAATGAGAACAATAAGTGAAACTCAACATTGGCAGGGATAATAAAAAAAAATACAATTAATTGTTAAAAATAATAATAAGTGTCATAGTCCCCCCCCCCTAATCTCACATGCTCATCAGTCATCAGTGCATGTATATTACTCCATCCGTCCCAAAATAAACCCTGAATTTGATCGGGCATGTAGGTTAAAAAAATGAAACTATGTGGTTAAACTAACTTAGACGAGAGAGAAATAACATGAGCCCCGTTATTCTTTCCCTAAAAAGAAATTAATGACATTTTTGGATGCAGAAAGATTCTAGATTTGGGCAACAAAATGTGAAAAATACACTCATTTCATAATATTGTTACTTGTCCACTAAGCACATGTGGTCCATGTGGATAATGCAGCTATTAAATACATCAACCATGGCAACGTACCCCCAACCCAAAGATATAGGGAAAACGGTGGAAAGAAGAAAAAAAATCACATAATGCATATTTTGGCAAGTGGTGGGGAAAATAGTTGAAAACTGCTTACCGTAGATAATATATGAGAGATTCTTGGCATTTACAATAGTAACAGATAGTTCTCCTGCGAAATCTCGGTTCCCGTGTATTTCACCAGACTTAGATTCATTTGAGACATTTGAATCTTTTGTAACAGGCCGAACTGCCTTTCCCTTTTGTAAATCCAAAACAATCTTCTTAGGGCGGACAAAGAGATGAGGTAAGTCCTCAGATAAAAGTTTTGTCAAAAACCTGCAACATCAGTAGTAATTCAAAATGAAGTATACGAGTAATATATACTTACTGAGTTTACAGTGGAACTGTGCCTCTCTCTGAAGATAATTCCATTTTAATTTAAGGGGGAAAGCATAAGATTGTGAAAAGCATTACCTTTGGATTGAATGATTGTAAAAACCAACACATGAATATTGAGAACATTGATCACAGTTTTGCGAATAATTAATGTAAAATGAAAGAAATTTTCAAAACCAAAATCATGAAGAGTTAAAACAAGATTTGCAGATAGCTGCACGACCTGTGTGATTCTATGATCTACTCATCTACCAAAATACAATAAGTTCAGAAGTTTATGATCACTTACGTTGAGAGAACAGGAATTGCTGATGTTGGTGGAGATGCATGCATGAAAAGGAAGTGCAAAAACAAACATTTGTTAACACATTGGTGATAATGATATGAATGGTAATAATCAACCTAAGAAAGTAAACACAAGAGATATTTCTACACTTCAATAAGATATCCATAATGGAGCAACAAAAACAAACTCAGTGAGGAGATAACGTTTTTTGGCACAACAGAAAAGAATAAACCCAACCTAATGGCAATGAGAAAATAGAAGTTAACGAATTAAGAGTTTTTAGTCCCGAGCTTTAGACAAAATAAGAAACTTTAACCTAAATATTGTTGAGACTCAAGAACATTGATTGTAGTGTCAACTGTCAAGTAGGGGTGCCCATAAAATCAAATCAATATTTTGGTGTGGATTGGCTCTAAAAAAATCAACTAGGTTCTTAAAAAAATATACTGCATGAATGCATGATGGTTTAAAATTTTAACCTTAACCCGTCTAAACTACACTGCACACCACACTGTGTTATGAGCGTGTCAGGAACCATGAGGATTAAACAAATGCCACAGACCAGATTGATGTTATTGTAAATGTAAAAGTAAATTACGTCAGATTGATACACATTTTAAAAATCAATGCTTTACAAGGACTGATAGTGCATAGGTGCCTATGCAAAATAATAGCCTTCCTAATATAGAACAATATGTACAGCAATGATGAACCGCAAATAGATATTTAACCAGAGTGGTCTCGTTACTAGGGCAGACATTAAAATACAATTCTAGACATAAATAAAGGAATCCAAAATAAGGATCTTAGGTGATTGAAATTTCATACCCATTAGATTAAACAAGCGAAAAGGAGACAAATCAAGCTTGATCTTGGGAAGAGAAACAAAAGCCCAAGAAACAGCTCCCACCCAAGGTTCCGTGGGTATTAACCTCAATTTAACCCAAAGTTCACCATCAATATCAAAATTTCGTACACCCACTGGCACAACAACAGGAATGATACCAAATTTTAGATACAGCATCAAAAGCATGCGGGCACCACCAGTATACCGGAGGCCTATTTGGTACCTAGTTTGCATAAAAGAATGATAATAAGCTACGCATTTAAGGTCAAACAAACCGAAATAAAATTTAGAGTCAAATGTCTGTTCTTGGGGGGCAAAGCAACAAAAGGAATTTCTTTACAAAGGAGAATATTGGTGGTTTATTTATTATTGCAAGTATGTAGATATAAGTATTTGCTTTATGCATAAAATTCCAATATGACCTAAGGTATTAGGACTGGATTGGCCATATGAGAGTGATATAAAAGGAAGGATGTATACTGTTGTTGAACAAGTAAAAGCCTAATTAAAAGTCACGGCACGCACTGCAAGTCATTGACACGACGAGATGTTCTGCGGTCAACACTCCTAACAGAAAGTGGCTCCGCCCCAAGAGAGAACTGCTTAATTTCTAGCCTCTCCACGTAATCTGGCTTCTTTAGATCATCGATAACAGGCTGGAGTGAGCCGATAATCCAGCTCTCAATCCCATCCTGATACACTTTCCAGAGCTTCCCTAACACCATGTTTACCCACTCCACTGACTCCTTCCTCTGCAAATCCTTCTCCAGAAATGACGAGAGGTTTGTGGGAATCTGCGGCAATATACCCGTTTTATCCAGCTTGTTGTAATTCTTCTTACGGGAAGTCCATACCTTATCAAAAACCACACCCACGAAGAAAAAGAATGCAAAAAACCCTAAAATGTTGCGGTTAATAGGCGGGGAAGGAATTGGATGTATAGCCCCTAATTGGGTCCTCAACTTGTCCACAATAGGGTCCTCCTGGAAGCTCGTAAAATTGGTGCTACCTCCACTGGTAGTAGCACAAGAAGAATCAAAATCACCGGAAAACCTTTTAATCACAATTTTCCCAGAACCCCTAGGAGCCGAGCTCGGAATGTCCAAGGCGAAATTGTGGGGATTGGTGCTATTGATGCAAGCACGAAGAAATGGCCATTTCATCTTCCGGTTGGAAGCGCACTTCCGCCCTGGAACCAGGCCTGCTTTCTGTCTACATGGGCAAAGAGGTGGATGAAGCGAGAAAGTCGTTGAGAAGTCGCAACTAACGTTGGGAGAAGAAGGCGAGTGAGAAATCATTTGGCAACGCGCAGGTGAACAATAGCATGAGGAAGAGGAGCAGCCCAGTAATGGAGCGATGAACAAGTGATAGTAAACATGTCCTGGGGTAGATATGAATGCACCGATTTCCGAAGTGCTGAGAGAGGGATATGTTGACCGGGGGGCAGATAGAGCGACAAACGACGGTGGTGGTAGTGGAAGAGAAAGGAGAATAGAAACTAGCTAGCGATAATGTAATGTTGGGTTGAATATGAATCAATCGCCTAAAGTATATACAGCTAAGACATACTCGGTATATATATCATTTTCTTCTCTTCACACTATTCTCCTTCACCAAATTAACTTGGGAAAACTGTCAAATAGGTCCTCGTACTTTTATAGTAGATTCTGTCCGGCCGTCGCGATTTGGGGTGGTACCCGATGGAATTTTTTGATGAAATTTTTTGAGCATCTTATTCATCAAGTCTAGTTTACTCATACCAAATTTCAGCTAAAAATTCGATTGGGAACGCATTCAAATTAATTCGAAGTAGTTCCAAAAGGTTGAATCGCCAACCCCAAGCGCCCCCCACGCCCCGACCCGACAGAGCACATGGGAGGATGTAAGTCACGGTGACTCAGTCAGCAGAGTAGCAGTAGGCCTTTACCCCGTACGCACCAGAGGCCCAGCCTTATTTCAGGTTCTGTGACCTCCACCCGGTCGCTGCGGGGATTCGAACCTTGGTCATAGTTCCAATTTTCCCACCACTCGACCAGCTGAGCTACCCGTGCGGGTTAAAAAACTAAGGTATGGGTAAACTTTTTATAGTGACTAGCTCCACCGCTTTCACGACCCCTTACCCCAGAAACCCAACTTTGGCTTGGCCCTACGGGTTAGTATACACCGCTTGGCCCTACCACTTGAAGGGTTTTTTGGGGGAGCATAGTTCCACTGGTGCTAGTGGGACTCGAACACGAGACCTCTCCTACGCAAGGATAACCTCACAACCAGCTAGGCTGGAAGTGATGGTTGAAAACTAAGGTATGGGTAAACTTTTTATAGTGACTAGCTCCACCGCTTTCACGGCCCCTTACCCCAGAAACCCAACTTTGGCTTGGCCCTATGGGTTAGTATACACCGCTTGGCCCTACCACTTGAAGGGTTTTTTTGGGGGAGCATAGTTCCACTGGTGCTAGTGGGACTCGAACACGAGACCTCTCCTATGCAAGGATAACCTCACAACCAGCTAGGCTGGAAGTGATGGTTCAAAAACTAAGGTATGGGTAAACTTTTTATAGTGACTAACTCCACCGCTTTCACGGCCCCTTACCCCAGAAACCCAACTTTGGATTGGCCCTACGGGTTAGTATACACCGCTTGGCCCTACCACTTGAAGAGTTTTTTGGGGGAGCATAGTTCCACTGGTGCTAGTGGGACTCGAACACGAGACCTCTCCTATGCAAGGATAACCTCACAACCAGCTAGGCTGGAAGTGATGATTTAAACTAAGGTGGAAGTGACTTTACACCCCAACATTCAAATTAATTCGAGAACGCAAAAATGTGCAATTATCTTCATGAATTAATTTGAATGTGTTGCCGATTGAATTTTTAGCTGAAATTTTGTATGAGTAAACTAGACTTGATGAATAAGATACTCAAAAAAATTCATCAAAAAATTCCACCGGGAACCACCCCAAATCGGGATGGACGGACAAAATCTCATATAGAAGGACTTAATTGACTTTTTTATGAAAGTACGAGGACCTATTTGACAGTTTTCCCAATTAACTTCAAAGTTCACATTTCACTCTTTTTAATAATTTTTTACCGTAAATTACGCAAAAAATAAATTTGACTTTGCACCTCATTTTTAGAAAACTTTGACTTTACACCCCAACATATATTTGTGAATAAAAATTTCTAAATGGGGTGAAAAGTCAAAAGAATTTTAAGTGGAATGGGGTGCAACGTCAAAGTTTTTTCAGAATGGGGTACAAAGTCCAATATCACCCAAAAAGTGAAATGCAAAGTCAAATTCCCCCAAAAACTTTACTACGCAATTCCCAATTATAATTGATTGGGGCAAATTATCCTCTATAACCGGTTGTATCATGTATTTAGTATGGAGAAAATTGTTGTGTAAGACTTACTTAGTTAATCATACAAACTTTACAAGAATATGACTTAGTTTTTATTTCCATCCGTATGCTTTATTTAGTTGTGTTTTAGGAAACTTATTTTTTAGTTTACATTTTACCCTCCACTTTAAGTTGCGTATTAAAGACCAATAACCTTCAGCAACGGTCGATCTCTTTCGCAAGCACCATTTCTTCTTCTCTTTAATCATTCATGCTCACTTCTCCAGATCTAATCGTGCTCGTATGGTCCATGAAATGTTCTGAAGCTTTGTTCATCGAGCTTCATATGTTTTGCAAATTTTCTTCACCTTTAGTAAGTTTTATTCTTTGATTTCTAACGTTGATTTCTGTTTTTTCTACTTCACATAATTCTTTGATTGTCTTATAGTGAATAAGAAATAGCCAGTTGTAGTCCAACAACTTGCTGAAATTGAGGGTTCAACTCTTGCAAGTAATGTGCTCGACAGATTTCTTGAACCAGAAACCAGTGCATGCAGTCTCTCCAAAATTTTGGACCGGTCTATTTCATAACAATAAGGATACTACTCAGGATGTGCAACTGGTGTATTTAAATTTCCTACCCTTCGGGAATGACCTTTTACTCCTGGAAGAAAACGATATAATGTCGTTGGTTCAAACATGGGGATAAGTGGGATGTTTTACTGGAAACTTTCCAAATTTTAAAGTTGTTGACACTTTGGTATCATCGTGGGGAGTCCCTTGTACTTGCAAGAATCCTATTCCGATTTGTAGTTCTTAGTTTGATAATATTCTATGATTTCAAATTTGTTTTTCCCATAATAACATTTAAAAGACTTATACTTTTTTCTCTCGCTATTTTTAAGCGACATGGTTTGTTGGCATTGAAACTTAGGTTAATTGTCATGGTTTTTGGTATTTCAATTGATGTACCCTTGATTGTCACACTTAAGTAGCAGACATATTCAAAATTAATGTTTTCTTATTGTCTGTTTAATGACTATCTCGCTTTTGAATAGATACATGTCCAGATCAAAGCACAGATTCATGTTCTTTCTCTTCTTTATTAGGTCTCTTTGTTCTTAAAACAATGTCTGTATGTGCTTCCTTTGATGTGCTTTCAACATATGTCTCATCCGATATTTTCATTCTTCTTGCCATTTTTTCTTTTGTTGCCTAAATGTTCTCACACTAGTGGAAAATCATCGATTTGCGGCATTAGATGAGCGGCAGTTTTAGAATAACCGCCACAAATTAATAATAATAAAATCGCGAAACGCGCGGCGGTTTTTACGTAAAAACCGCCGCAAATATTTTAATTTTCTTTTAATTTTTAATCTAGATGAAATATATGCGGCAGTTATTAGTTACAGAACCACCGCATATTGTTTTTCAAAAAAGTTGTCATTATCGCTCCACACGCGCGGCGCTTATTAGCTTAACAACCGCCGCAAAAGATAATAAATTATTTAAAAAACTTCCGCACGCGTGACGGTTTCTACAATAAGAACCGCCGCAGATGTTTTATTCACTTTAAAGCCGATCTGGATTTCTCACTTGAGTTGGTGGTTGGCAAACAAGAACCCTAGGATGACAAATATCAATCCTCTCCTCCTCCGCAGAAAACTTGAGGCCGGTTATCAAGTAGGGGCTGAACTTTCCGCCGTTGCAGAAGGCCTTGAATCGAATGGGTCATCAGAGCTCCAGTGTAGATCTGGGCCCGTACGCCCGTACTTGCTGATATGGTGCAGAAGCACTTCATCTCCGGTGTAGATCTGGGGCAAGGTAAGGCCGGCATTTTCTTTCTAGATACATCCGTCTCTATCTCGCCCGCCCTTGCATTTTTTTTCAATTTTTTTAAACGTACATAAATTCTTTCTTGTTTTTCATATACATATATCCGATCCGTGTGTGCATCTTTTTATCAAAATTTCATGATGAAGAACAGTGGCGGCGATGAGTAAAAAAGGGGAAGAGAGGCGGCAATACGTGCTTTGTCGAGAGGGGCTGTTGACGGTTGAGAAGAAGATGAACAGCCGATCCAGGGACGAAATATAGGTATCCAATGGGATTATGGGGAATTGGGGAGATCTCCTCTTTGCGAGAAGCTGCACTGCACCGGCCGCCGTGATAAAATCATGTAATAATAGAACTACTTCTGGTTAGCTTAGTTATTACGGAGTACTATGTACTTAGTTATGTAACAATTTTAGATTCCAACGTAAATATCGTTTGTAAATTGGAGCCATTTTGATGTATCAATGACTTCCGAATTGGAAATAATGATAACGTTGTTATGTTTGTAAATTTGATGTGGTTTGTATTGGTTTTTATTTATTTATATTACTTAATTAAGGTAATTATAAAATTTTAGAAATCAAAAATTAAAAAACGAAAAATGTGGCAGTTCTTTAGTTAATAACCGCCGTGTTTTCGGAAATTTTCATTTTTATTCTTATTTGACGGCGGTTTTTATGCTAATAACTCCCACCCATGGTATTTCAAAATTATAGAATCCGCGGCGGTTCTTATAGTAATAACCACCGCGTTTTATTTAATTTTCTTATTTTTTTATTATTTATATATGAGGCGTTTTTTATGAATAAAAACCGCCGCGCGTGTTTTTTTTTTGCGGCATATTCGTTTGTGGCGGTTGAAACCGCCGCGCATGTCCCTTTACAACCGCCGCAAATTGGGTTTTTTCCACTAGTGTCTGTTAAGAGTTGTCTTCTCGTTCTTCATAGCCGCCTATAGCTACTTCCCAGTCAGTTCTACCGACCGCTTCTTCAAAATATTTTTTTGTTGCGGCTTACGACTATGCAGTTTGAAAGGATATTCGATCCAAATTGAATGGTGGTCTACTATGTACTTATAATTAAGAGTATTCTGGTCAAAGCAGGTGTAGTTCGTTGTCGTTGGAATTAACGCCTAAAAATTCCTTGCGCTTCTTCGTCAACGTTACCTTGCCCTTGTATGTTGAAATTTCCAGGTCGCTCTTCATAGTCGCTTACCCGCAATCGTCTTTTCCGTTTAAGCTTTCTGCAATTTTTTCTATGAGACGGTGAGGCCTGGCAGTTTGAAAGGAAATCCGATTCAATTGAGTTGTGGTCTGCTGATGGAATTTAAAATTAAGAGCATTATGGTCAAAGCAAGTGCAGTTAAGTCTTACGCTAAGATGTAA